AATTTCCCCCTCCGCCCTCCAGTTTTCGAACAACTTTATCGATGTAAGACGAATTGTAGGTATAGTTTTGCTTATAAGATCGGGATTAAATAGATTTTTGTGATTAGACTTTAGTGATTTATTTGATTGTTTTAGTTCGTGGTGTTGTTCTTAATTTAGTTAATTCATAGTGTTCTTCTTAGTTCTTATGTTAGTGATGTTTTTAATATTATTAATGAACAATTACTATAAACTATATTTCTTTCGAATTTTTTGTTTATTATCTTCTATTGTTCGAAAATTTTGTAATTTATCCATGATTCTAAAAATTTGGAGGCCATATGGAATAAATAAGTAATAAACAAATTCAAATAAGATATAATTTTATAAATCATTATTTTGTCGATTCAAACCTACGGTTAACGCGATCTATCGCGACCACATTTCTTTGAAATATTTTCATTATATAAAATTTTGTTTATTATATATTTTTTAGAAGAATCGGTCCCAAAATAAGGAAACTACCACCCCTAGAATTTAGTGCCATAAGTTCGAGAACGCCATGCATTGTACACTCGGCCGATTTCACTCTGCAAAAGCTCGTTCCTGCTCTGGAAAATGTTTCAAAAAATCGGTAAGTCGAATCCAATTTTAAATAAACTTTTGGTAGAGTACCTCTAATAGAGTTAGAGCATTTTATCTACTGCAAATAAAAGCATATTTTATTGACGAATATGGAGTTAATAGGAGCATTGTGCAAAAACAATGGGGCTTCAAAAAGCCCAAAATCGATATTATATCGAGTGCACCAGGCACCGAGCGCCGAACTCCTGGGTTCGTTGGGGAGCGCAGCAGAGGAGAAGAGCCGCCGGTGGGAGGCACGCACATTATAAATTAGTCCTGAATTTGCTCGAAACTGATTTACTCAATGCCGAACGCCAATCGTTTATTCGAGTTGATAGATTTGTAGTCCATTAATCAGAATGGGCCGTGCACGAGCGAAGTTACACTTAACGACATTACGTTCGAATGCTGCCGAATTAAATACGTATGTGTGTGTGCGAGTGAGGATTCGGTTCGATTGCGGGGGATTCTGCTGGTGAAATTGATTTGATCCGATGCGGCCCGGAGATTAGATAAAAATTCCTAATTATCTTCTGATATACCCCACAATTTTTTTTTGTTGTCTTAATTTTTTTTTAGTTAACTTTTCTTCTTTTTCTAGCTTATTTATTTACCTTTTGATTCCTTTAAGTAACATTTATGCAGGGTGTTAATTAATGCTATGTAGATACTTATTTTAATAGGTAATAAAAATGAAACTTTTACTGCCTTGTAGTATACGAAAATCAAGCTGCATTAGCACGTAAAATTGTAAGCCTAATTTTTTTCTCCATTGATCCACATTGCATATTTTATATCGTTGTTGTTGTTGTTTGTTGTAATAAACTCCGGTGTTCATCTCGAAACTTCCCGTTTGAAGCGACTCTCTCTAAGACTCGAGCATCTTCCACCTTCAAAGAGCGCTGCTCGAATTCTTTTAAACTGAATTAATTTTCTTCTCTAGCTCTACAACCGTCGGGTAAATATACAAGCGTTTAGGATCGTCGGCGGAATCGGCGGCAGTCGAACCGAAAGGTTCATTTTTCTAATTGCCTTTTGCGCGCTTCCCCAACTATATCTCGGGCCCAAAGCGGGCGATAGTAATTACATAGCGAACCTTTAATTAGCGCCCGCGGCGTTTTGTCGTTTTGCCTTAACCCGCAGAAATAAACACACACAAACCCTCGTCTCGACTCCTCTATGAGGGGTGCATGACAAATAATTCAATTATCTCGTTATTATCGAATTATAATATGTAATATTATTCGCTGTAGTTTACCGGTGATTTCTCTACTTGATGTGTTTTGCAACAAATAATACTGTAAATGTACTTAATATCTTACGTCTCTCGTATATATATACCTCACTGGAGGGTGGTTTTCTCGCGTTTTCCCGGGACTTTGTAGTCGAAGGGCCGCGAGCTAAACCTACAATTTTCAGTTAGCGAATTACGTTTTCGTCTTAGAAGTTGTTTAGAGCTGTTTGGGTTTCTTTTTTGCGCTAAATATACGAGAGAAATCAGATTGTGCTAACTAGAGCTCGGGAAAATTCAGGTTATTCCGTTTCTCCTATAGCCTCTTAGGTATACGAGGTCGGTGCGATATGTTCACCAGTAAAATTTGCTTTTAGTAAGTTTGTTTAATAAACGTTTATTTTAGGGCGAGTTATATTCATTCGCGCTCTATCGTTCCTCCAATCTACTAATACCCGCTCTAACCCTTAGGAACATTTAATCCCTTTTAAAGCACTTTCAATTGTTGTTTCGTCGGATTAATTATAACAGTCCGGGGTGGAAGTTGGCGACGTACAAAAGGTCCGAAATCCATTGTTCCGATTCGCGGGGATACAATCGCGAAAATATACCCGCGAATAAACGAAACGTCAACCGAAAAGAACCACGGAGACCGGGCGCATCTTCAACAGTATAACACACGCCGCAGACAAAGCCATTACTCACCCGAGGTCCTCGGGGACTTGCTGCCGCCTGTCACTTGTTGGAAGACCAATCCTTTGTGACGGATCGGCCTCGGCGAAATGTTTTTCCCATTTCCCCGATATACGAACGAGGAAGGCGAGACGCCGGATTTTTCAGGTGACTGCCAACGTCGCTCAGATGCGCTTCCAATAACCATAAAATATCACATTAAAAATTATCATCAACTTGTGTACGAACGTAGCAAATCCACTTGTACACAATTCCTCCTACAAGACCTCTAAAAACCGAACAAGCTTCATCACCACATCGACTACTTTTAGGAAATATTAACACGCCAGGTAAAAGTTTCCGTCGGGGCGCCGCTGCCGCCTCCGGTTGGCGGGCCGGAGTCTTTTCGATTGTGACAATGCACTATCGCTAATGCTTCGTTATTAATTCAAGAGCGGGACAAATTTATTGAACTGACACGTCGAGATTTCGCGGATACGTGTACGTGTCAGATGATGATGTCTTCGGATGGATTTTCGGATGACGTGAAAGATTTAGGAAGGATTTTCCGAGCGTTTTTGCTCGGCTCGTCTATTTATAGCGGTGAATTCGGTTAGAAGAATATTGTTCCTGGCGAACATTTGTCTTTATTGATCTGCCTACGAAATGTAGGTGGTCGAGGCACGGCCTGTTAAGCCGCTTTGATATGCCGGCTGACTGTTCTGATAGTAATGGATACTGGCCGGGAGGTAATATAAACAGTTCATCCATCAGGTAATGGATAGAATGTCCGATTCACTTCATTGGCTTCACTTATTCAACTCGGTTGATTAGATTCGGATGTTGATAATGTATTATTCGGGCTACCATTCTATACCTACTACCAACGTTTTTGCAGCTAAAATTAGCGAATTAAATGCGGTTTCAGAAGTGGTATAAATCAAACCAACCGACTGTTACATACACCGTTCAACGGGGACACCAGGCTGTATAATTAATCTGCCGAAACCGAAACCACCTTGTACACACCATCAGTCGTACACGTATAACGACATCGATCATAAATGAGCGGTACAAACGACGAGAGCAGAGGTCGAAAACCGCTTTCGCCATCTTCCGGATGCTCCGCCATCAATTATTTATCGGCGAATTACCGAAGGTGGAGTTAACAGCCGGTTAACAGCCGCTCGCGACGCGGGACGCGCTTTTCCCACCGATAAATCAAACTCCGGGAAAGTTTATTAATTACCGGCGCCCGCTTGTTTACTTGTATGGAGGAAATTTCGCGTCGCACATGCACTATTGTTGCCGGCTTAAAAGAGTGCTCGACTAAAATCTCTCGATAAATCTGCGTTTCGAGCTTTCGGAAAGCTCAGCGCATACGGAAAATTAATTATTATTATTATTATTAATATAAAACCAAAAGGATCATTGACTAACTCATTGAGTATTATATTTGTTGTATATTCCAATTGAACATTAGTGCGGGGATTTTTTCGAGTGTTTTATTTTTGATTAAATTGCATTAAACAATATACCAATCATGTTATTTTAAAACAAAATTTAATTAACAATTTGCGATGGAACAATAAAATGGAAAACAATCAGTAGTAATTGCCAGTAAGCTTCGTGCACAAAATATTGAATATTTAACGGTTGAAATATTGAAATGGAGATCGAATTATATTTTTTGATAGGTTCATATTTAATGTATGGTCGTGTAATTACGCGCTTAATTCTTCATGTTTATTTAGACGGAATTTCAAAAAAAATGCATCGTTTCTCTTAAAACTTTATTAATCGATTCTTGTTTTATTTTACATATCTAATTACAAATCGAATTAACGCAGTGACGTACGATAAGGATAATAATAGCACAAAGAACATGCTTAAACGATATTAAAATTGACAACTAATTGACTAAAATAGATTCGATTATTACCGTAAGCCACTGTAGCAGATTACTTGCTATGTATAAAGCATTCGCGTTAATCCGGCGATGACGTATACACCGCGGCGTTGCCACGTCGTAACGTTTTTCTTCAACATTAAGGATTAACGCGAACGCCGTTCATAATTTATATTTGCCTGTTTGAAAGGAGCAGTCTCTATGATACACTTTAGCACAGCTTTTTTGTCGTAGGTATACACTTTGTACTAGCTTAAATTTAATAGAGTTTCACTTTATCTCATTTGTACAATATTATTTACACAACGAAAGTTCATGTTGAAGTGTTGGATCATTCAGTCTCATGCAGGATATGTTTCGCCACACCGGAAAGAAGAGCACATGGCACATTTGAGGGTCAGTCATCTGAAACAAATCCTATTATCACTAACTTTGATTCGGCGTTTGCTCAAAATAATTTTTGCGCATTAAATTAACAGTCTACTCGGAGCTAAATGAAAAGTTCCGCTCACTCGTTTTTTGTTTTTTGTTCTCCGTACACACTCCTCCATTCGATTCAGCGTCGCTCTAACTTCGTTTGGGGGATCACCTCGGCCCGGCGGCGGCGGCGGCGGCCGCCCTCGACGTCCCGTTCTGGAAGAACGACCGCAAAAAGAGCAAGGCGACGACGAAGCGCCCGACGCCGAAGCCGGCGCTCCGGCTCGCCGCGCTGAAGGCGCCCGGGGGCTCCCGGATGGGCGGCGGGCCGTTCGACGGCAGCGTGTACTCGCCCTCGTAGTCGTATTCTGCAACGAAAAAAACCGAACCGCGGAAAATATTACACGCCCTACTATACAGGGTGGCCCAGAACTCACGCCCCATCGGGAAATGCCCAATGGAAACGACAATGAAGATGCCAAAACTGCGGCCGAAAACATGAAAAAGTTGTTGCTTTGGTAAATAAAGAGGTGTAAAATTGACTTAGGTGAATTAGCTATATACCAATTTGACATTATTGAAAGATTCTATTTCCTTTTCACTTTCAAGGTTAACAAAAACTGCCAAAATGAGCTGTAACTATTTACCAAAGATTTGCTTTAAAATCGATCAAAAAATGGATCATCGATTCGAACCACTTTTGAAGCAATAAAAAATTCTGTAGGTTTGATATCAGCACGATGAAGCTTCTGAATGATCGATTTGGAAGCAAATCTTTGATCAATAGTCACAGCTGATTTTGGCAACTTTTGTTAACCTTGAAAGTTGAACGTTGAACGTTGAATCTTTCAATATTTTTTCTCGTTCTTCTCTTTTTCATTTTCGTGGAATTGAATTCCTACTGGGATTGGTCGATTTCGAACCTCTTTATTTACCAAAGCAATAACTTTTTCACGTTTTTGGCTGCAGTTTTGGCATCTCCATTGTCGTTTCCATAATGCATTTCCCGGTGGGGCGTGAGTTCTGGGCCACCCTGTATAAGTAGAATTGGATCGTATACACACTGCATCCTGTCGAAGAACCAACAGGAAGTATCTTGGGAACCGTAAGGAGGTGAAACTCATGCACTAATTGGGAGGACTTTAAGTAAGATCTAAACTTCCAAGATTCAACCTTATATTGTAAACAGTGCGTTTATTATTAGAGCCTCGAATCTAATATCTCTAATAACAGATTGCCAGTCGAAATGCGCGGGTCTAATAAGTTTCGATAGAAATGTATCTCACCAGATATCCGTGTATCTTCGGCGCCGACGGCGTTGGCTCTATTGTCGCCCCCTTTCGAGCCGCCCCTAGGCCCACCTGCAAACCGCATATTTGCATTAAATCCTCCGAGCGCGTGCATTATTCATTTCGGGGTAAACGGCGCGCCGTGTACGCGGAACATCCGTGTTTACAATGAAAATATTTTTAACCGCGGGTTAAACTCCGATTGATAAACTACACTGTATGCATTACTACAACTAACTAGTCGGTTACTTACTTATAATTTATTAATACCTAAACAGTTTTCTATTGCTTTCTATATAATTTATGTAATCAATAACATTGTATTACTTATTATATTTTATAAAGGAAAACTTCTATTCTACCGACGATAACCTATCTTGGAGTTGTTTCGGGTTAAATTAACCTTAGGCCACTCCACGTATCGATTTGGCGCAATTTTATTACCGTCTATGCCGGGTCGAAAAAAAGAAGAAGGAGAAGAAGAAAAGCGGGTTTTTCCGAAACCGTGGAACCGGTAGATAGTCACTTACTTTTTACGTTCCTCATGAATAAATAACCCGTTAGGATGGCGTGCACGAACGTTCGGGCATCGAGAAGCCGCAACCGTATCAATAACACTAATCCCGACCTGAAATTGTCTTAATGTCCTCCCGCGCTGGCGGCGCAACCGAAGAAAAAAATATTTAATAATCCCCGACGACAAGGGAACGGAAATAATGCGGAGTGTATACTTATCTGCCCTCCGGGCAGGTTAGGACTCCGCGTTCTATCGATAAAACCGACCAAAACACTAAATTAGGATCGCGGGAATCCCCTGGGATAATCTTCTTTTTTTTATTTCAAGCTCTTTTTAGAGGAAATTTTCTAATGAAACCAATTAAAGAAATCAAACAAATTTAATAATAAAAACAATTCTTCATTACTTAGCATTTTGTGGACTCCTACTGAGCGATCATTGGGTGTTGGAATATTTAGTAAATGCGGTCCTGTATAGGGAATCCTCTTGAAAAATCTATCCAATTACGGCGGGCCCGTCATAACGCCGGCCGAAAAAATAAGGAAAAATTACTCCCCGCCGTCGGGGTAGAAAATTACCCGCGACTTATTTATTAAACAGTCGTAAATGATGGAGATTGGCTTAATATTGTCGCGAATAAAAGCCGAAACACTAATACGCCCTCGACCGATAAACACCGGAGACGGGGAAATATGGAACCTATATAGGTATATTCGAGAGAAAGAATAAAGGGACACCTCGGGCACAAATTAGGGCAATTTCTTTTATCGTCGCCGTCGCTTCGTTTTTAACGACCGCAGAAACAGACGGAACAGTCGAGAATGAAGCGTCAATTAGGATGCGAAAGAAAATTCGATTTAATTTGATTATCGATTTTCCTATCAATTACTGCAAACCATTCGATTGTTAAAAAATAATAAGGACAATACAGTAATTAGTATATTATTGGTGCAAAACAAATATCAATGCACGTCACTACTGTCTTGATATTTATTTTGCGAAAAATCGCAGCGTTGCCACGTTGTAAACATTTACCCAAACATTCGTGATTTAAAAAAAAAGACCTTTTATAGATCCCGATATTGTAAACCTCGTTCAGCCATTCAAGAGCACTTAAAATTCATTAAGGGCCGGTATAATTAAGAGCGAACGAGTAATTAAGGGGTTATTAATAAAGGGATGTTAATGAAGTGTTACCTTTTTTCGCAACGGGCGTAGCCAAATGCGTGGTGGTTCTGGTGGTGGTCGGAGCGGGAATTTCTGCAAAAAAAAAAACAACACAAAAAATACCTAAATAATTCACGGAAATTGCCGGGGCATGGCCTAAAAATCGAGCGAACGCGACCACTTAAAATACTCGAGATTTCGAGCCAGGCAGTTAACCTAAACGCCAGCCGACGAGAAGGAAGAATGTTAATAGGGTTACGGTAGATAATTAACTTTATTGGCGAAGAGAGAAGGGGCGGCCGGAGACCCTTAAATCTTTACCCTTTTACCTTCTTCGGCTCGCTTCTGTTCGGCGTATAATGCGGGGGAAATGCGGGAAACGCGGCCGTCCGATTTTCCCTGGTTTACGATCGTCGGAATTTCGACTCGGATGCTTTCATTAATTCACTCCGAATTATTCCACCTATATATTATATATCTTTCCGGGTGCTCGCATTAACTTCGCTAATAACACTTTTGTCTATGCGAGAGACCGTGCGTTACTTTTCACGCTAAATAGCTTTATAGTTTTTGATTTTTTCGTAAAACCCTTCTGTCAATTAAATGCTTTACATCAGACGGATTATTTGAGAATTTAGCTTTGTGATTTATATTATCTCCCACACTATTATATTTGTAGTATTAATAGTATACACGATTGAATACGTAAACTGTAGGTAGGGTTTTAACGTGAAAGCTTGTTTAATCGCCGTAATTCAAATTAAAAATGCCAAATAATGCCCTTATAGGTATATAGTCGAAATCCGAATTTCCATTGTTATCTCCCCGTACAAATCCCGAACGGATTTCGGAGTTTAATAATGGCGAATTACGAACGGTCGAAGATCAAACGTTTATTAATTAATAACAAATAATAATGCGTATAGATATTTCCGACAATGCCGTTGTGATTGAAATCGTTTGCGTTGGCGTGCCCGTAAAGAGCAACAGGAGCCGTTGATTTAATTGTTGTACCGAATCGGATGGTTTCTGTTGTTGCCGCGACTTTGGGTCGAAAATTACGGTTTCTGCGAATTAGTATTTAATTATTATCCGCTCGTATAGCTGGGCTAACCTGGCCGTTATGACGCTCAAACAATCAACATTCAATATTTAAACAAGAGCAGGTATTTAAAGATCGATGTTTGATGAGATACTAGTTCTCAATACTTGTTACAGAAAGTATCGTTTTTATTAATAAAGAAATCTTAAATAATGAGGGTTTAATATTTATATTTTTTGAGTATTGATGATGAGAAATTATGATGTGAACCATATTTTGTTAATAAATGATATTAAAGTATAAAAGAAATTTTGTAATAAAGGCATATAATTTTATATTATTAAACAATTCATATATTGTAATTAATAGGTTATTTTTTATACCTTCGGTAATAAGGTAGATCGATAAAAGGGAGTATAAAAAAAAGTTACATTTATTATTGATGAAAACGCTTCATTCACTAATGAGTAATTTTATTTTTAACGAGATTTTTTTAACATGGAGTATTGAATGAAATTTTCACACGGCGCGCGTTTCGTCAACCGATCGTAATTGCGAATTTAAAGATTTAAAAATTAAACCGGGCGTATATTATTAACCGGAACATCGTTTGCTAAACAGCTGAACCTCCAATTCGCGGCGTACGGTTTCGAATATTAATCGAACTCGAGGGGAAAATATTTTTTCTCCGCGGAGCATTTATCGGGCGAAATGGCGGACGAGTCAATTCGGGAACGCGAATTCGATACTAATTAGGAAAAAGAGCCCTTCGCGCGCCGGCGACCCGTTAAACAAAGACGTCTTCCGATTTTCCGGGCGCTTTGTAGAGCGCTAGACATTTTCCCAGTGCGCCTTGAATAATTCATTACAATGCGATTAATCTTAATTAATCCGGACGCGGAATCGGAACGGATTCGAACGAAACAATCGACGCCGAGATATCTTAAAATGTAACGGGTTCATTATTGAAAAGGCAATTTCGATTAGTTTCCCTATTCCTAACTAATTAATTTTTCAACGGAAAAGAATCTCTCACCTTCCAGTTTTATCACTCCGTCGGTCTCGCCCAGGGAATTCTTCGCCACGCACCTGTACGAACCGAAATCCGATTTGTTCACTCTTCTTATCTTCAACATCATGTACTTCTTGTAACCGTTATCCATCGACACCGCCTCGTATTTATCACCTGAAACACCACCAACAACCATTATTTTTTCGAAGCGCCATCGTAATTAAAAAAATACTCTACAACGTTGCCAATTTTTTCGCGAAGGATAATAGCCGAAAGGATAATTAATCAAGTCGGCGTCGAGGCGCTATTGTTGGCGACTTAACGGCCGCCTTCGATACACGTACACCCGCAAAGTAAATTGTCGTTCGGGTATAATTACGGAAAACAAAAAATCGGGGAGAGAGAAAAAAAAATGGCGAAGGGAGCGGGCGCTCGTCCATCGCGCTCGCAGAGGATCTAAATTTCCACTTAGAGAAGCCGCTCGGTGGAAAATTAATGGACTGTTTATGTCGGGGAGACGTTGAACAGCCGGCGGGCGGCGGGCGGGGGCCTTTTTTTCCGCCGTTCGAGGGTCGCGATTTTTCTTCGGGGGGGTTTAATTGGTAAGTGGAAGTTTTACGGTTTATCGACTGGAAGAGATTGAGTTAGGTTTGATAGATTGGCATGAGTTTGTAACTGTTTTATTGGTATAGGTACTCGTTTGGTTTTTTTTTCCATTTCGCTTTAAAAGGGAAAATTTCAAACATTTAATATTTACTTAATTAGAGTTTGTATATACCTACTGTTTATTTAATTGGATTTCAAATGCATCTACTAATAACAAACAAGTTTTAACAACAATTATCATCCAATAAACCCTCATTTTTCACATAGTAACGTCATACTCGTACACGAAACAAAGGTGCATGCATTACCATAACTTTATCCAGCATGAAATCGAAGATTCTCTCCAACTAATTCGTATAAGTATTAGGAAACCGGCGTTAACATGTCAGCGGTTGTCGTATTTGCGAATCCTCTGCGTCTGTTTTCGCGAATTCGACGTCACGCCGGCGGAAACCTGTCATGTGCCTGCCGTACGAGCGGGTTTTTCCGGAAAAATAAAACCACCGCGAATCATATTTCGATTTATATTAGCGGAAAAGGGACGAGACGGGGGGGAAACAATAGCGTGTATTGGGATTGCGTACAGGGCGATTCGATGGATTTTTCCTGCAATTTGTTGCACATGTTTGTGCACACAAAGCGACATTCGATAACTAAATTACACACCGCCAATGTACTGGAATAACTCCGCAATTAGCGTTTTTTTGCATTCAAATGGAGTACAAACAACTGCGCTTAGCTGTAAATATGACTCGATAAAATAACGGTATTTCAACGGGATTTTTTTTTGTCAACGACACAAACAGATATTCTGCAATAATCATTAATCTCATGTTGTCGGTTTAATTACAGTGCAATATCGATTGATCGGGATAAAACATTTTTACAATTACAATTTTTACAATTAAAACATTTTAAGGGTATATACAAAACTTTAAAGCGATTTTCTAACACTTGTCGGTGAACAGTTTAAATCAAAATCTACTCGACCGATTCTTTTGAAATTTTGTGTACTATTTCTTTAGATAAATGACTTATTTCGCGATAATTTTTTTAGAAAAATTAAATCCGCGAATCGGTCTCAAATTATGCAAACTACCACCCCTAGAATTAAGTGCTATAAGTTCAAGAACACCCTGTATTGATCATTTTTGGTTGCTGCACCGGCGAAGATTCGTATAATCGGCTTAATTATGAATATTTTGATCCCAAAAATTATGGAGATATTGTCAAAAATATTGTGAATTCTCAAAAAAGTTCCCCCTTATTTTAGAACATGTTCGGAAATTACCTCTGCCTATAACGATGCCACTCCGTACTCTCATCAAACTATAAACTACAGACTAATACAACTACCTGAGATAATCATATCGCCCCTTTCCGTCGTCCAGTAGTTGATCGAAGTTGGAAACGCTTCCGTCCGGCATTCGAGGGTCACATCCTGTCCGACGTAAGCTCCCTCCAATTGGTTGGGAATCGATAGCATCGGAGGAACTGCAAATTAATTCGACAATCAACGGCCTGGGCATCGATCCGCGCGCGTTCGATTTCGAACGGGATACCCGGGATCAAGTGCGAATCGTATAATTCGAGCCATCGAGGCTTATTAGAATTGTTTTTCTTCTATCCGAGCGTACTTACATTGCACTTTTAACTGCACTCGTTTGCTGATGGAAGGCGGCACTCCGTTCGAGGCGATGCACAAGTAAACTGCCATATGCAGTCGACTGACTTTCGTTATGAATAATATTTCACCATCAACCACGTTCACTGTAACAATAAAATATTATTAGTTATATACCTGCTTCGGTTTCGCAATGAATTATTGTATAATAAAATGCGACGGTTAATTGTACTATTATAGAGCGAAATCTGCATGAAACTAAAGCAGCGAAAAAGCCCCGAACGACAAAAAATGACGAATAGTCTAGTCTAGCTTTATTAAAAAATTTAAATGAGCCGGAACGTGAAGGTGTCCCGCGCTCCCGGAACCCGCTACTGAATAATTCATCCGCACTATTCCCGTATCCATCGCAATAAATCAACCGCATTGTTGGATTTTTCCCGATATCTGCATTCTCATTGTGTGTGTGCCCGGCATCGTATCTTTCATAAGCGCTCGGCCTTGCTCGGAAAACGAAGGGAAACTCGCTATTGGCATTATTTGCTAAACGGAAAAGTTTTCGTTATACTATAACGTAAGTGACGTGAGAAATTTTACTGGTGATGATTGAATGCACTATAGTATGTATGCAAAACGCAGGTTAAAAAAAACCGGAGAATTCGTTTTAAATAAGCCGGATTAGTCGATTAAATTACAGGATCGTATCGTTTTATTTTAACGGTCCTCGTATAATTCGGGTTTTAATTCCGGGTGATGTGCGAGGCTGATACCAGGGGTTTTTCGCCGACAAATCCACCCTAATTTCGGTTATTTAGAATCGGAGTAATTTCGTTAAATGTGTATTTTTATTATTTTTTGGGGGAGGCGGAGGATCTAAATTAAATGGAGCGGTGATAAGGGGTATAAGTTTTTTTTTAATTTAGTGAAATTGGTGAGAGATTTACGAGTTTGTATTACAATTTACTACGCCGAAATAATCGCGACGATTATTTAAAAGTTATTTTTTGAAATCATTGCAGTATGTGAAATTTGGTTAATTAACAAATGATTTTAGGAATTTCATTTAATTAAAAAGTTTTAATAATTTCGGTTCTATTACGAAAAATTGTATTGATTTACGTTCAATTGTGTTAATGTTTGTGTAAATTGGCGATGTATTGTCATTGAAACAAAAAAATGATTAGCACCTGTATGGTATGTAATTGCTATTGCAAAAAAAGTAATTACAATGTAATGACAATTTGTTGAAATTACAAAAACGAGCGTATATATTTTCCTTTAGCACACAAAAAAGAGAGGAAACACGAAAATAGCGGAAAATGGAGATTTCCTATTTGTTTTTCGACGGTTATGAGCCAATTATTTGCTTTAACATTCATAAATAATTGATTAAAAATCAACATGTATGTTGACGTTTAATTCGACTAATGCGCTTCGATTTTTATTATTTATCACACATTCGATTAAAATATATTCTTTTAAAACACTGCTATTATACCGGTCGAAATAAATATTACTCGAATACAGCACGATTTAATCCACGATTTCCCGATAACTTATCGAATAAAACATGTCCGACATCAATCAGAAATTATCTCAATAAATTCCCGCCCGTCTTCATCCCGAAAATTCCCTGTCATTAGTTTTTTTTCCTCTCCTTCATATCGGGATTGATCTCGAACGGGCGCCCGAGCTTCACGAATCGCGCTTACGCCGTTTTTCGATTTGACACGCAGAAATCCCGGGGAAGGAAGCCGGCAAAAAGAAGAGAAATACGGCGAAGAGTCGGAAAGTTTGCGCGGGAAGTATACATCTCGCCCAAGAAAAAATCCCTTTCAAGCGTTCCCCGAACGAACCGCTCAACAAAAGAATTTTATTTGATATGATTTGGTCTTTATTGAAAGGTTTAATGCCGAAGCGCGAGCGACGGCGACGCTCCGAAAAATCCGAGCGGTTGCAGGAGAAAATGCGAAAAGTGCAGGAGAGGAAATTCGCCGGGTCAGGTGCTGCTGCGCTTACCGTTCTCTCCGTTGTATTTAATGTCCTCGCCGTCTTCTCGGCGCCACATCACGTAGGGTTCCGGATAACCGGTCGCTTTGCACGTCAGGCTGACGTTCGTCGATTCCAGTACCACCATATCGGAACTCGTTTCCTTGTCGATTATGCTCGGAGGCACTGCAAGAAATATATTACTCAAATTATTCGGTACATACAATCGAGCAATTGGAAGCTGTGATAACGGGCTCGAAATTTTGCCGATGGTGAAACCAAATTTCGTGGTGAATTTAAAGTGTTTAAAAGGCTTTTAAAAGGATCAAAATGATGGGTAAATTTAATTAGAGAAGTTAAAGAACTATCAAGAATTACAGCACCAGAGTTGAAAGTGTGTTAAGTGTGTTAAAATGATGTTGAACGATTAGATCGAATAATGATAGAAAATGTCACTCGAGCAAAGGTTTATAACACAGCAAACAAACACCAAAATAATCTGGGAAATCCCTGAACGCGGCTCTCCAGGGGTCCGCTGGCGAAACTTAAATATTTCGTTTTCGTTCGCCCGGACTGCTCTCGCCATTAATTCCACAGCCGGCCGCTAACTTGCATATCTCGCCGCCGGAAAACTCCTATAGGAGATGCACGGAAAGCCCGGCGGAATACGTAAATATATACCGTACATGTAAATGAAAATGAATTATTACCGGTCCGAAGTTGGCGCGCAAGAGAAACTATACAATGCAGATGACACCGCGGATGGAAAAGCTCCCACTTCGCCAGGATTAATCTCGAAGAATTGCTCGATGATTAATATTGCGTTGTGCGAGTTGGTCGTAATTTTTCCACCAGCGGTTACCGATCGATAGGAATTTATTAATAGCAAACCCCCGGTGTATGTGTATATGGAAGTTTTCTGGGAACGCGAACGGAAATCAACAGATGAAACGGCCGACCAATTGATGCGGAAACTCCTTGTTTGTGTTTCGCGGAGTTGTTTCGCCCTCCCCCACGATCCGATCTGAACTTCCTCGTTTCAGCTCCAACAATACTACTTACATTTGTGTGCCGGGCGCCTCGAGATAACTCCATCGTTATTCCCTTCGTTTATTTGTACGACCGAAAACTCTCCGTTGTCTCTTTCATGTCGATGATACTTTAATAATACACGAAAAAGTAACCATTGATGAACGTTGGAAATATTGTTTTCCATACAAGCGAAACGCGCAGATAAGAAGTTTGTGTATTCGTTTGAAATTTATTGTAGTAAACTGGACTTTAAAGTGCACTTTAAGAATATGTATAAAAGGGAAATTTAATATATTGTGTATCCTTACCGACGACTTGCAGGTATCCTTGCCTGGACCTCATAGGATCTGTATTGACTTGGCACATGTACCAGCCCCTGTCGACCTCTTGCACGTTTTTGATGTGCAAATACCAGGACCTGTGATCGTTGTAGGACAATGATATCCTGGGATTCTGGGTGATAACGTTGTGGTGAATCGATAAAATCGTTTGGGTATCAACGCGCACCCAGGCCACCTGGAAATAAAAGAAAATTACGATTTTACCGCCGGTTTTCTTATTAGAAAAAAAAGTATAACAAAGTATGCCTTTATGCTAAAATTAACTTCGAGGAGCTCTTCCTTTTTAGCCGCGTTCGTTATGTTGTTTTTTTTTGTTCACGTAGCCAAATAAAACTGGTTAACGGAGTGGTAATTTTTCCTTTGAAGACCGGGAAATCCTGTTTTCTTTATTCTAGCAGATGGAAATCCCGGCGAGAGTCGATCTCAGGTCGGTACTCCGGGAAATTCGAGTCGCAAAGCGGCGGAATAATAGAAACGTTGATGATGAAACATTCATTAATTGCGCATAGTTTTGTGCATTTGCACGAAGGAATTTCGAGTGAGAAATTCGCTGGAAACGAAATGTTATTAATATCCGAAAAATTCCAAACACGTTCCTGCCCGGAAATCATGACGACCTCCTTAATTTGTAACAATTATCCAACATAAACGTCCTCTCTTTCTCGTCATTCTTATTCTCATTATGCATGTTCCCCGTTCCATTCGCGTTTAATGAAAGTTCTTTTTTTTATTCCATCCTCCTCGCCGGGGCGTTTAAAATAATAACCGTATTTTCGCCGGTTAATTGCAACAGTAACTGCAGCTGCTGAATAAACTTTTTTCTCGCCGGCGATTTTTATTAGCGGCGATAAGTTTCCTTCCGTTGTCGCTCGTAATAACGGAACTACCGGGCGAATTTAAGTGGAACAAAACAAATCGAAAATTAATGCGCGATATTCCTGCTCGAGAGATTCGCCTTCGATAACAATCCTCTCGACTGGGAGACACGGCCCGGAGAATTGTCGATGGCGTTATTACAGATTCTGCACCACGTTACACTCTCGACAAGGCTCTCTTTGTTCGCATTCAATTTGCGACATACACGGCACAAAACTGCGGATGGAGTACACTACACCCAGAAGCGGCCGCAGGTTGTTTTATTTTATTTTTTTTTAATTTTATATTCGAAATTCCTTAACTAGTACGAATGGAATTGTAATGTGGCAACGCCGCTTGTGATGTAATCGTTGGGTTAAAGTGAATGTAATGTAGTGAGAATTTTATATAGTGGATATATTCGATAAATCCGGTTCTGTTTTATCAGTCTGTATATACACGTGTATATAGATGTATCCCACTTCTGCTCGTTTGCTGATCAGCGGACCGTTTTCAAACAAGACTACAAACAGAACTGAAAATCGACAAAAAGCAAATAAACGAGACCGCAAAACGAGAAGTCTCTTTTATTAGATTCATTGATAATTGAACTGGTGTCGGTTTTCATTATGCATGTTTCACAACTTTGTTTCAATTCAATTATAGGTGCAAGTTTTCAATATAATCATTGCATTTTATTGTTATTGTTAGGTAATTTTTTGCGTTAAATTTTATCAAGTTTGAGGCGAATTAAGCGAATTTTCCGCAGCCGATTGAAACAATTCATTTGGATGGAAAACGGCTCCGGCCCCGTTTTATCTAATAATCTTCGACTTCCTATTCTCATCACAGAAATCTTCGGCGCCCGATTCGACTGCGAGAGTCAACCCAATTCACTCCGGGGAGCATTATTCCGGATAATTCAATTTATCCGCGTTATGAGATATGCCCCGGCCTGGCTACGGGGGTGTTTTTTTACTCTCTTTTCGGTCTATTACGGGTACGTGCCGTCGCCCGGAATATCGTACACGACGAAAATAAAAACGACTCACTTTCCAATTTGCGCTGAGTACCCGGACCGACGACAGCCCGGAATCGCAAAATCCTCTCTAAGAGGACGGGCATTTTTACTCCAGAAATAACAGTTAATTTACAACTCCACCTTTTTCGTCGATTAATTTTTTCGAACGCAGAATAATATCCGGATATTCCGGTATAAACGCCGAAGCTTCCGCCCGAAATTATAATTATCCCGCGTATATAGTCGATCGTATAATGAAAATTTCCCTCTCTCGACGCGCGCGACCTTCGCATTTCTCGACCCATTTCGAAAACTATTAACGCTCTCCCCCTTATATCGCCCTTAATTTCATTTACCCCCGTTAATACTAATCCGCTTCGCGGCGGAAAATTAGCCGAATTTCCCCCGGTATAATCGCACCGGCATTTTTCCCGCCGTTAAAACCGACACGGAATCGCACCGTGTTGTTTTCTAGGCGATTACAACAATGCGATATCCAACAATTCCGTCCAGGACCGGACTTTCCCAAACTCTCCCGAATTTCCAGAAATGGCGGAGGCATATTGGCACCTTCACCATTTTTTGATTTGCCATAATTATTTTTAACTCCTCCATTTCTATCAATTGTTGCTATTTTAGCTCCTTCATCTTTTTTATGCATTATGGCTAATTTTTAGCACCTTCATCATTTTATTAAATAGCTATTATTTCTAGCTTCTTCGAGATTCCTTTGAAGTTCTATTATTTCTAGCTTCTTCGAGATTTCTTTGAAGTTCTATTATTTCTAGCTTCTTCGAGATTTCTTTGAAGTTCTATTATTTCTAGCTTCTTCGAGATTCCTTTGAAGTTCTGTTATTTCCAGCTTCTTCGCCAATTGTTTTACGGTTTCATGTTGTTGATACAATTGAAATAATCGCGGGTCCGGTCCTGCATTCCAAAGTTTTAATAGGGCCATTTATCCCGTGTTCAATCTGGCGTTGCAAACCGGTTAATTGGAAAATGTACGCCCAAAACGGTTCCGAACGGCCTCCGAGGGCAGTCCGGAGGATAACTAAGTTACGCCTATGGTGTGTAATGCAGTGGCAGAGATTAGGGTCCGGTCTTTTAGGACCTAATTTATGCACTATTTAGTCGGTCCTGGAAGGACCGAATCGAATTCCGAACGTCTAATAATATTCCCCGACCCGCCGTCGTTGTTTTCTGGGATGATATCGCAGGAGTTAATCGCCCATCGACAGCGAGCGGCTTCGCCATCTGTTGATATAGCCGCATAAAAAAATATTTTCCTCCCGCCTTAATGCCCGATTTAAAAATGAATACCTGGGGACTCGCTTATCGGCGACGTGACCCAAATACGCTACCCTCAATGTCCCGAATATGATAGATTGTAGTATTATTTGGGAAAAATTTAGCTGCATAAGGAGAGCCTGTAAGAGGATATTACGAATACAAATTCGCCGGCGTGTTATTGTTAAAAGTTAAGTATATTTGTCACCGTTGATTTGTGATCCGCATCGCTGTTTTACATAGCGAGTCCCGGGGGAGAGAACTCAAAGAATATACAACGCGCTTTAATCCCGAATCTGAGCTCGTTTATTAAATTCGAAAAAGAACCCGGCATTCATCCCTCGGAGAGATCCCGTTTGATTCTCTCTCGTTTTTCGCCGCTCGCCGAGCTCGTCGCTTCGCCCTCGGTAAATGGCAGTTATCTCTTTGACTGCATTATTCAAACGGGGATGAAATATTTAACGCATCAGCTAACGTTGCAACAAATTATTGTTTCAATATTTTAAAACGGCCCCGGGGCGCCCCGGCGGCGGTAGAGAGGGCGCGATGCGCGCGAGTTATTCGCGTATTCGCGTATTCGTGAGCGAGTTTAAGGGATGAAAACGGAGCGACGCGGCATCGGTTTCGAAACGTTTGAGCATTCGAGCAATTTCCTAAAGATAAATACGTTCCGTTGCCATCTTTCATCTCTAAATATTAACATAGAGTGTGTGCTCGCTCACTTTGCTCCTCGGATCGTCGGAGATGGGTATTAATTTGGTTGAAATGTTAGTGAACGATTTTAAAGTGAATAATAAAATATTAGGGAATGCGCGTATCTACCTATACCTCTTTACTCAGGTTAAGTGCATGCATGATTAAAATGTTAGTTAGTTATTAAATAGCAAGATTTAATCATTATTATATAGGTATTGAGAATATTAATTCCTCTTGTACTACAGGACAGTTTCCTTTCCGTGCCATTATTGAGTCTAAAAGTAAATAAATTTGTTAGTTTTGCTGTACAGGTAAGCTTTTAAAGGGAAGTAGACGTTCCATCTCTAAACTGTACAGTTCGATTTCGTCGCGTTTCGAAGCTTTTATTGTTTATATACGACGCCGGGCTCGTACACTAATGTTATTATTTTAAAAGCGATCGCGGCGAAATCAAACCGTTAGGCACGTACCCGGCGCCTCCGCCGCCGCCGCCGCCGCCGCCTCCGCGGAATGGAAATTTTCGATCGGTCTCGAAACGTCGTTTTCTCTCGTCGGGGCTGATATGATTAGGGGTCGGATTTCTGGGTCGGTCGTTTCCCCGTTTCGAATGCAAGCTTGCATGTTTGCTTTCGGATTTTCTCCATTACCTGCGCTATATTGTTTTCGGGTTTCGTTGTTCGGGCGGGTTTTTTTTACTCGAAAGGTGTGATCGAGATAGGGAAAAGTAATTTCGCGCCGGCGGTTTCGAACCCCCCCGGAAATCGGAATTTTATTTTCTAATTTATCTTTTAAGTGCAGTTAAAGGCAACAACAAAAACCCATACATTTTCGAAGAATATTTCTATCTACTTGCTAATCTTACATTGTCATATCCTAATTCAATTTATCTACACCAAATTATCTATTACAAATATTATAGGTAAGGTAACACTATCTCATCTAGGCTTGCAAATAGCTCATTTTGAAAAAGCTCATCTTACAATAACTCATCTTAAAATAACTCATCTTAAAATAGCTCATCTTAAAATAGCTCATCTTAAAATAGCTCATCTTAAAATAGCTCATCTTAAAATAGCTCATCTTAAAATAGCACATTTTAAAATAGTTCATCTTACAATATCTCATTTACAATAACTTATCTCACGGTATATGCGAAGAATATTCCAACTTTTTGCTAAACTCACCTTATTCCTAACCAATTTAATTCCATCTAAACTAATTACCTTTTTGAAATCGATTAAAAACCTCCACCTACTGCTCGATATTTATGCTAAAACTCGCCGAAATCTCCCCGCATTATTAATCGTTCTTTCGCGTTTTTCGTCGACTCGAATGGCTTTCCCCGAACTTTTCCAACCAGCCGAAAACAATCTTCTTTATCTCGCACGTACATAAAGCGAATCGCGAGGAACTTTTTCTTACTGTTTTTTTTTTCCTTCTGCAGCTCCGCTCTCCTCCCCACGCCGTATACATTTCGAGAGCATAAGACAAAGAAATCGAATTTGAATGCCCGTCGTTTGCGCCAGCCGATAATCCCACTTCTGGCACATCCATCACCCCGAAACAGCGACCTCCCGCGGCGATTTTCTCACCTCCGGAAAGCCGACCCTAACGTAAATACCTCGCGAATTTTTATTGCCGAATATCGACCGCGATTTACGATACGAATTCAAACCTAAACGCAAACTACATTCCGCCCCAAATCATCATCTCTTACTTATTCCTCTCCTAGGAGTACACAAGCGCAGCCTATCTTATCTAGCTCACTCTGCCGTGTCTTATCTCACTGTAGCTCATCTTACAGCAGCTTAACTTACAATAGTGCATCCCACAGTAGCTTATCTTAGAGTAGCTTATCTTAGAATAGCTTATCTTAGAGTAGCTTATCTTATCTTATGGTAGCTTATCTCAGGGTAGCTTATCTTGTAGCTTATCTCAGGGTAGCTTATCTTGTAGCTTATCTTACCTTGAAGCCTCTGAGGTTTTCGACGACGCAGGCGAGGAGGGCGTCCCTGCCCACGGTGACGGTGACGTTGGGGATGGGTTCGGCGAATCGTGGGAAGGCGGAATCTGCAACAAACGTAGATATGAGGATGTTTTTAAAAGATATTATTCATTCGCGTAAAGAGGATGTGACAGGATTACGCGCGGCGGGCGAAGGATAATAGCGGGGATTCGCTTTTCGTAGGAGAAAGGAGGATGTATTTAATATTGCGATTCTTTCGGTTTTTTTTTTTTGGGGTAGGTAATGGAGGGATTTGTTTGTTGGGAGACGGCAGGGATATTAAAAAATCGACAATTTTATTCCGTCTTATGTTATTTGCTTTAATAATAATTTTAGGTGTTTTATTGCGTTTGCTTGAAGCGAGTCAGAAGTGGGATTCGAATCGAATGTTATTTGTCGACGATTTATATGTTATTATTCATTCATTTTTCGAAGAAAGCGAGTAGAAAATGGCGTGTCGTGAATCCGGACGAACGTTTATTTAATTTATTAGCTTCGTTTACTTTCGATATAAAAACTTTGTGACGTCTTATTACCCGAATTTACGAGCTTTTTTGTAAATACGTTGTACCAGCAAGAAAAATAATAATAACCCCGTTATATAATTTTTTTCATCGAGGAACATGAATGGAGTTCGTTATCGCATTAGGGACAATCTACTTTGGGGCACGTTCAGCCTTCTGATGTGGAAATATTAAAAGGTTTTTACGCGCTGTATTTAAGGGAATATCGAACGAACAATTCGTTTGCCTATATACAAAGCTGACGTTTCCCTTCACTTCGTTTCGAAATCTCTTTCTCAGCGCCGAGCGACTAATTTCAGTAAACAATTTTTGCTGTATGCACAAATACTGTAATATATCTGCGCCCAAGCGAACCGTGAAATAGACGAAACTAACGCGAAAACAAAGCAACTGCTTAGAAAGGGGAAATAATATATGTGCGCTCGAAAGGGACGTGAATATTTCAACGGGATTTTCATTCAGAACGTCAAGAAGCCTTCTGAAAAATACTCCTTTTAATAAAGATCTTTGAAGAAAATCCAACAAATGCATAAATTCGTAAATGCTAATAACGAAAAGTTTGGTAAAATTATTATTTTTTTGTCTAACGAAACAGAATATATCCAGTAAAATGTTCCAGCAAAAGCTTCACATCACTCTATTAGTTTGCAAAGTATTTACTAATCTTATAGCAGCTTATCTCAGAGTAGCTCCTCTTAGAGTAGCTTATCTCAGAGTAGCTTACCTTAGAGTATCTCATCTTAGAGTATCTTATATCTCAGAGTAGCTTATCTAGCACTATCTCATCTTAGAGTAGCTCGTTCAGAAGTGGCGAAATTTTTATTTACGAATAACGCGATGAAAAGAAATACATCCAGGGCAAAACAATAGCGCATTACATTCGATCAATGTACAAGGTAACTAATCCCGGTATTCTTCGGATCGTCCGCGATTCGGTCCCTCTCCTAGCATCGACGTTGATTGAACACGGTTCATTCCCCAACAATAATCACCGGCATCATCCTTTATTTACCGTCAAAGTTTGACGCGCCGCTCAAAACAGATTTCATTTCGCCCTATCGGTTCCGATCCATTGTTGAAACACATCCCAGCGTCGGATATTAATGGAACACGCTTTGCCCGAAAAACACGGGGGTTTTCCGTCCGCGCCCTCGGACTGTGCAGTTTCGCCGTCTTCCCGGAGCTTTATTGGTATATCGGGTTACGTTCCGGGGAGAGAGAGAGAGATCCGGCCAATTTGCATCCGCGCGAAATTTTTATAGGTTATGCGGTTCCGCATCCGGATCGCATAAAACTACAGTAAAACGAGATGACGTTTTCGGTACAAGTTCCACGAAAATATCCAATTCTAGTCTCAATACAGTTGCAGTTACTCTACTTTCTTTATCAGTCGAAGAGAAGCTCATCTTACAGCTTATCTTTGTGTAGCTTACCTTTAGAGTAGCTTATCTCAGAGTAGCTTATCTCAGAGTAGCTTATCTCAGAGTAGCTTATCTCAGAGTAGCTTATCTCAGAGTAGCTTATCACAGAGTAGCTTATCTCAGAGTAGCTTATCTCAGAGAAGCTCGTTTTACAGCAGCTTATCTCAGTGTAGGTTATTTCGGAGTCCCTCTCTTGCTTCGCGAACTCGGTTTTAAAATGTCGAATCATTAAGTGAGAAAGAAATTATGCTATAAAGACACTCTTATACAAAATTTGTTCTGCTATTATGAAAAACCAAATAATTACACGTTAAACAAGCGATTCTTCTCGGAGTAAATTTACTCATCAAGCTAGTTACCCCGGCTTTGTTTGTTCGATATAACCCCATCGCATCGTCTTAAGAACGTTTCTCGTAATTTTCTAATTAGCAATTACATCGTGTCGCGTCCCGACGTTCAGACGGAACAGACGAATTTATATTTGGAGGGTACATTACGAGCGGTACGTCGTATTGTCTCTCATGACGTGTAATCCGAGCGATTGTTAATTATTCCGGTTATTCGTAACGTATTAATTAATTCGTCGATATGACTGTTTGCGTTAATAATAAATTAAAGGGGCGATTTGTTGCTGCGTTAAATCGTAAAGGGGTGGAACTTGTTTGTTTTGGGTTAGGCGACCTTCGATTAATTAGCTCCGGGCTGTGATAAATTCATTAGCGTTTGTAACATTTGGCTGTGGAGGAGATTGTGGATGTCAGCAATTTTATACAAAAATATATAAATAGCTTTATAATAAGATATTTAAATTTTGGGAATTGGGTGTATAGAGATGAATTGTTTGTGAACTATTGGGATATTAATCGTTGGTTTATTCGAAAAAGATTGGTAATTACAGTACATTTTTCAGATTTGTTCCTAACCGCTTATTAATTGGGCTTTCCCTTTCACATCGATTTCCGTGGCGAACGTGTCGTTTATTTTCCGGGAAAATGGAAAATTACGTCTATAAATTCACTTAATAGAACGTTTCCAATTTAATGTATTTTTAATTTCGCGGTCAATAAGTACATATAGCCGATACATTGATGGATTTATCGATACGAAATGTTGTATTTTTTTATCGCACCGAAAATGTGTATATGGGGTAGCATATAACAACGCGCATACATAATGCTTATCATTTATTTCCGTGCAATTCTGGCTAAATGAACTAATGATACATAAAATACGATATGCACCTGCCAATGTTGTCAATCTGCATTTCCGATACCGGTTCCATTAACGACGCCGATACGATACGTTAAAATCTATTCAACGGCTAATCAGCCGGTTACAATGTCGAATATTTATTTCCAACTTTTTGGAAATTACGTTGGGAATTCGTTAAAACGAGTCAATGCGATTAAAAAATAGCGAATTTTTTAATAAATGCATAATGGCATGCATTCTGCCGAATAAACAAATCGATACATCCCAACACATTTTTAATTACGAAAATAAACAAGCGTTTTAGGGACTGAAAAATTCATATAAGCACTTCACTGTATTTTCGTTACATTTTTAGCTTCTGTCGACGTGAATTAAAATCCAAATAAGTGTAATCGGGTATCAATAAATCGAAGGAAAATGCGGCCGAAAAAAAAAGAAGAAGATACTCGCTAAATTACTTATAATAAGGTGGAATTTTCTTTTTGAATTAGAGCTCGCGACCGTTTAATTTTCCAGAGTAATTTGTAAATGCTTTGAACGCTACCGTAATACCGGGAAGTCGGCAGCCGATTGCAGGAATTCAGGATGGTAAATTATATTGAATATTAAACCATAGGTTCGTAAGAATATTACCGGGAATTTCCGCTAATAGGATTCATTCGCAACACAAGTTTCGCGCAAAATCAATAAGTTTAATAGCTAATAGTTATTTGTTCAATGCTATGATACCTATAAATTACTTATTGAATGAATTAATCCCGTATTAATTTTAGAATTTCTAACTTATGCTGTATTTAAATTGTATAGCACAATATTTTACTACAAACTTTAAGTAGTTTATAATAAACTTGAAGTATCTTATTGAAAAGTTTCTTTACTAGAATCTTACAGAATTTCACTATAAATTTGCAATATTTTATAATACTGCGTTATTTTACTAGAAACACACGGTATTTCGCTACAAACCTACAGTATGTTATTGCAAACTGCCAGTATTTTATTGAAAACATAAAGTATTTACTATAAATTTGCTGTTCATAATACTACATTATTTTACTAGAAACTTGCAGTTTGCAGTATTTCACTAAAAACCTACAATATGTTCTTGTAAACTGTCAGTATTTCATTGAAAACATGAAGTATTTTACTATAAATTTGCTGTATTATATAATACTGCATTATTTTACTAGAAATATGCAGTATTTCATTACAAACCTACAGTATGTTATTGTAAACTTTCAGTATTTTATTGAAACATTAAGTATTTACAATAAATTTGCAACATTTTAAAATATTGTTTTTTTTTTCTAGAAACATGGGGTAGGTATTTGTACTATACTGAAAAAGTAGGAAAATAAATTCATAACGTTTGCAATAAATGCATATGAATGCATTAAGGGCAAGTGAAAATCTCTCTGTTTTCCTTCGGTAATCCAATCTTAAAAATAACCGGCGCTTTATAGACGCGAGAGGAATGCACAATGGGCACTAACTGTAAGTATTATTACTATTACTATTACCTTCGTCGGTGTTACTCACCGTGATTAAAGTCGCCTCCAAGAACGGATATTCCGTTGGAATCTATGTTTCGGACGTGTCTGCCTGCAATCGAGAAAAATCCAGTTAGTCGAAAAAGGAATGGCGAGAAATTAGCATGACGAATAATCCCCGATTTTTGTGACGTTTCATTCCGTCATTATTTTTATTACAACCGGCCGTAAACTCTAAATCTATTTAAAAAGAACGTTTTCAAAGGGTCGTAAAATTTCTCGCGACGCCCGTTTTGTTTTTATCGCGCTCGCGATTCGGATTTTTACGACGTAAAAATGTATGTAAAATCGCGATTTAAAATGAAAAGAAATTTGCATTATAATGTTTATGATTAAAGTTCGAACTTGAATTAAATTAAAAATACAATATTAAAGGATTTTATGGTCCGGAATGAAACTATTCGGATTCGAATCGAGTTAATAAAATACTTTTATTGAAAACAAAAAAATGAATATTCATAATATGCGTTTTAAAACTTTTCCCCTATTTAACCACTGCTATATAATCTGTTATAGTTTATAAATAAACACGAATTCAACTCGGTATACAATCAAGTGTGAAGAAAACAATTTTTATAAATTCAGGCCTTTTAAACCAATTAACAATAAAAGCTTTCATGTACAATAAAAGAACGCAAACACAACAGAAAAATACTTCACTCGAATGCGCTTCGCCTCGCCTCGCTATGTGTGCAACTACGTATTTATTTAGCTTTGTTTTCGACGCCGATCAATTATAAAAAGTCTATTTTTTCGCTTCGGAATTCATCGACTTGGCGAGAGCCCCTAAAAAATTCAGCGGTTCCATTTCGTCCGGTGAAAATTTTAGTATTTATCCGGGCGTTGTTTGCCGGTTAATGGCGATCGGGAAATTTAATCCGATTTAATTCGCGGATCGAAACAAAATGGAGCAATGTTCGCCCGGAAGGTACCTTATGTCCCGTACGTCGAAAATCTTATATGTGCGGGACGTGCTCGGCGGTAATTCAGAAAAATTGTTAGTAAAATGGCCTCGGAAAGCTGCGGAGAAGAACGTTGGGTTCGATCGTAAAAATTAAGTGGGCTGTAAAAAGTCGAAGATAAAGGTTATCAGTGAAATATTTACGGGCGTTACTTTTTTGCGACGGTTTATTACGTTTTCGGGTGTGAAACTTGCCAGGTATTGTTTCCAATAAAATTACTTATTTATACCACTACTACATATTGTATTAGAAGATTCGCAACGAACTGGCTACAATATTTCTTCTTGGATACGCTGAAATATTTATAAATATGCGAACCTCGGCTATTTAAAAAATATTCAAAACGCCGCGTAAGTTATTCAAATGAAATTAAGTCCTCGTTGGAGGGACGAAAGCGACACGGAAAGGCGGGAAAAAAAGCGGGGGCGAAATAGCGGCAAAGAGCTATGGAGTGTCGACAATCATCGTTTTGAATTTCAAATGAATATTGTTTTTGTCGATGCACAGTCAGCGGGAAAAAAGTCGAACGACGAGCAACGAGAAACAGACCCGTTTTTTCTTTCTTTCTCGCTACTGCTGTATCAGGAATTCAACCTGTAGAGCCTCGAGCCGAATTTGCATCAGAGTTTTATCTAACGAACTGTTTCGCTAATTCTTAGACGGCGATGCATCTTTAAGGATTTACAAGGCAATTCTCCCGGGTTTCGCTAAGCTCTCAGGTATATTGCATATTCCAATTATCCGAATGTACTTCACATTTGACACGTGTTGTTCGAATATTCGAATGGGAAAACGGATTTCCCGATATCAGACGTCGCTATTCAGATTCCGAAACTGGGTTAAACCGGTGAAACATTCATGCAGAAATTGACGCTGAAGCTGCCACGTATTGTCTATATAATAAATTTTCGCAATTATCTATTTCCTAAAGATTAAACTATCTCGATGCAACGTTGCTGCCTTACCGAGTAAACAAAGAAGTATTGAGAAACGCGGGCATTTTTTGCCCGTGGAAGGAAAATTTAAATCACAAATTAATCGCAATCGAGATTGTTAAGATAGCATAAATTAACACGTCGACGGAAAACGGTCTTAAAATAACCTCCAATTTGTTAGGCCATATGTCTTCATCAATTCCTATCAGATAACGAGCGCCAACACGAAACAAAAACTTTCCTTGCCCAGCGGAATCGGCTCCTTTCTCTATATTAATTAGTTTCATTAATACCCAACAATTGCCAGCTCGAATATTCGAATCGGGTTTTTTTTAATCGAGTCGGTGCAGCGATAAATTTCGGAAAACCAATTTTATGGACGAGCGTAAATAATTTTTGCCGGAACATTTACGCCGGACTCGGATTCGGCGTTTTCCCGAACGAATCGGCGCCGCGACGGCCGTTTTTGCAAGCGCACCACATTATCCGTTCGGGCTCTTAATTAATCCCCTGCAAAAGTTGCCTAATCCGCAACTAACTTCCGATATGTACCCCGGCCCCATCCGGAGAGCAGGTGGAACGGACTTTTACAGGGCGAGTAAATCGGTAAATGCGAAGGGCGAGGTTAAAATTTTTGGTGGAGGAACCACCAATATAATCTATTCCAAATTTTGGTGGAGGATCTGCAAGTTTTGATCATTTCTCTCACTAATATTTTGGTGGAGGAGCCACTAAGAAAGTGATTAAACCTAAATTTTGGCGGAGGATCTGCTAGTTTTGATCATTTCTTACTAAAATTTTGGTGGAGGAGCCACTGAGAAAGTGATTAAACCTAGATTTTGGTGGAGGATCTGCAAGCTTTGACAATTTCTTATTAAAATTATGGCGAAGGAGCTTCGATATTTAAAATTATGGTGCTAAAATTCCGGCGCGTCCGCCAATCGATTCTTAAATACCAAAAGTACGAAATTCGACGACAGTTAATCACCGCCTTTTTCCATTCTTCGGGAAGTGCGAACGACTCGAAACCAATTACCGGGCGAGTGTGTCGGCGTGGGAAGCCGGGGGTGTGCGGATAATGTAATTAACCAAAGTGGAGTATAATTACCAGAATGACTGGGAGTCGAGACGTTCGCCCGACGGGGCCCGATCGGAGATTATAAAACGCGGAAAATGCGCGAGATGTACGGGGAGTTGCGAAACTAATAACGCGGGAGCGGGGCGCCGAAATTCCGGGTGAGCTCTTCGAGTCACTTGCGTATGTAAATTAGGGGGAAAATAAACAGTTCGAATTACGTTTAACTCTCTCCATATTTGCGCCCGAAATTTCTGGTTCGAGTTGAACGTGAACTTTAAATGACGCGCTTATTTATAGAAGGCAAACATAATTCCTGTGCGAATTTCTCGACTGGCAAACGCTTCGGGGATGCCACGAGAAGTACTTTACTTAAGCTAAATTTCACTCCGACGAATATTAAAAAACTTATTTATCGAACGCTTTATTAAAAAGCACACAGGGTGGCGCCAACAGTATAGAAACCCCTCTTTCACACTTTGTATTTACATGGCAATATTTTTAGTTAATAATATTTGCATGGGATACAAAATGCGACTCGATCGGAATTGTATTATCGAAACTGCAAGTACGTATGTATTTTTATTGGGTAGAAAATTCAAATCCAATTCGATTTTATGTATTTCGTCTATACATATACATATATACGTTCCGCATGAACCGGAATAAACGGAATTAAAGAATTCCGGTACGCGTTTCGTCTGTTCTATTAGCGTCAAAATCGAATCGCTAAATTTTGTTAGCCGTAAATGAAATTTTATTCGTCAAATTATTCAGTCACCGTATTTCATAGAAAAACCGAAAAATATTTAATACAACTCTGCCTTTGATTCGACTGTACACTTTACTGGATTATTCACCGGGTTTTTAACTGACATTATTTTTGAATAACAGCTCTAAAAAAATGCAATTTATTTGGAAGCCCTCGAATAAATAAATTATTGCTTTTATTGAGTAACAAAATTTTTCACTTTGTAGTACATTTTAAAACCGAATTTCATTATAAATAGATTTATGCGATTGCTAATTAGGAATTTCTAATTATACAGTATATTAATAATTTCATTTAAGAGAAAATTAACTGTTGACTCTTTAATTAAAAGCATATGTATTTCCACCCCTGCAAAACACACACAATTGCAATTTATGATTGAAAAATTTCATTTTATTTGTTCAATTTTCCTTTTTCGAAATAAAACCTTAATTCCTCTACCAACATCGATTCAAAAGCGACTACAACTCTCCCTTTATATAGAAAAAAAACCACGCGAAAACCGGAAATAAAAAAACCCCTATTTCAATTAATTCTCGCATTGTTTTTATTTTTAATTAGTTAGTCAAACAACGGGCGATCCCTCGGGATAGCGGCAAATAGAAATTGGAAAAGGGAAAAAGTGATAGGAGCAGGTGGTGGTCGACGGTTGCTCGGGGCCCGGAAAATTCCTGCTAGTTTTCCACGCCGCTAATTCCACTTCTACGCGCGTATTATAAAACAACCGAAATTGATAACAGTCGGAATATAAAAACCCGAATCTTTCCCAATTTCCGCCCATCGCCGCCGGTTTGTTGCGTGCCAAATAAATCTCCTCGTCGACGACGGCTCTATTTTTCCCGATGCAGGGGAAATTAACGAGACAGTGGAAAGCGCGTGTGACTGACGTCATATAATCGTATCCTCGACGTGACGGTTTCCCACGGAGCGTATACACTCTATATATCGTAATGACTGGCCGCCCGTCGGAGCGAAATGAGAGCATTTAGAGGGGGGCCGATGAGAAAGGGATTATTACTCTTGTAATCGATAACGGCGAAGTTTCGGATTGTTAAACAAACAACGGATTTGTCCTTCGCTTTCGAAACGAGGCGTTGATTTAACTGTAGGTATTGAGCCTCAAAACTTCAAACACTTCATCTTCGTATATTAAATATTCGATTCGAAATTGAGGTATACAGGGCGTTTAGCTGAAGTTTAATATCGCACTATGAGGAATTCCAATTTTAAATTTTGGTGGAGGATCTGCAAGTTTTGACCATTTCTTACTAAAGTTTTGGTGGAGGAGCCACTAAGAAAGTGATTAAA